ATTCTCTTTTTGCTCATTCTTCGTAACTTCAAGTGCTATTCCTTCCTTAAAATGCTTCTGGAGATTCTCCAAATGTTTCACTAGAAGTTTACTAAAAATTACTTTACAGTTAACTAACTACTTCACAATTAACTGAATTTGTCGTAGTGATCTAATAACTAATTTTAACCAAATTACTATAGTGAAGGAACCCTTTACACATTATCAAAGATACCAGAATCAATTGAATTCATACCATTTGGATATGTTTTTTATAAACCTGTTTTTCTGCTTGTTAGGTCCAATCTTGAAATGAATATTTGACCCCTTCTACTGACCTGATTTTCTTAAAATGTTTTGCACGTATTTATTTGGGAAGATAATAATTCACATTTCTTTCTCTAAATTCGATACAAATTTATTTTTATTTAGTGTTGAATTTATCTTGGAATTGATGATAACATACCTTCAATCTTTCCCCGTCATATAACCGAAAGAACTTCAACCACCATCAAATAGACACCGAAATACAATCTTTCAAGAAAGAGTTTTGGAATTTTTAATATGATTTACAGAATTTTAATGTTTCTTCATTTAAATGATGAGATTTTTTTCAGCTATCGTGCAGTTGCTGATAATAATGGATTTTTAAGCAAAAGATATTATCTTTCATTGCTGTAGTTTCTAAATCAAACAGAAATTTACATTAATCAAATCTAATCTAAAGCCTTAGCAATGATCCGAAAACTTTCGGGCATCACGCATACTTCTTTGCTATGCTGATTAGAAAGAATAATTTCCTTACACTCAGAAGCAGAGACATTTCTTTCTGTATTACGTTTTCTTCATTCAGTATATGTTTTAAAATTATGCGATTTTAATTTAATACATTAAAAGTAAAAAAAAAATATTTTTAAAGATATTCTTAGTCAAATTATGCGACTAAAAATAAAATCGCAAGGCGCTTTTATAAGAACTGCATTAGGACATGAGCAAAATTTCAATGAACAACAGAAGTCAGTCCATAAAAATGATATATATGTAAAAGAGTAATTACATTGAATTCGTTTAAATCTTTCTTTTAACAATTTTAATTTAAAATCCATTATTGTCAAAAGTCTCATAATTCTATTTTTAGTTGCCTATGACTAATAATGGAATATTGTGGTGGCTAGCAATAATTTTTAGTGTACGTATTTGACTAAAACCATACAATTTAAAAACATTTGTTACATGTTTTGTTTTTGATATAAAATGAGACAGCTGCAAATTTTTTACCATTGGAAAAAGTTACGTAGCTGTTACGCTGAAGGAAAAAAAGAAATAAATGAGATTTGTATGTTAAAATTACCTTTCTATTCCTCTTTTCTTGGTATTGATTAAACGTGTATAAAAATCTCAGACATGGTTTATACCTTGTTGAAATTGGATAGGAATTTTTAGATTTAATTTGGAAAACACGATTGAAACTCGATGAAAATAATATTACAAATATTTTACGTACTGGAAAAATTAAAAATTATGAAAAAACAATTTAATTTACCACAAATGCAGAAACGATTAATAGTTCTTAAAGATGAAATAGACCGGCATTCAAAATTAAGGAAACAAATACATTTATTCGAAATGGTTTGACATATCCACTCGTAAAACTCAGAAAATCGGCATATGCATATAAAATTTAAAAGGCAAATGCATTTTCTCGTATTCATTCAATCTGAAAGCGGTACAAATCTGCAGTTGACGAAGATAACTAAAACAAATCTTATTTCCGCGAATTTGTACTTTTCGTGTTAAGATTTGCGACGTGGTTACGTAAAGAAAAAAATAAATAAATGAGTTCTTACAGTCAGTTAAAGGGCCATTTGTAATGTAGAGACTGTGACAGACTTGACACTTAGTCCTTAGCGAAGATGGGCCGATGACTGTAAGTCTTCAGAAAAGTAGTATCAAGAGATGCGGAAATGATTTCAAGAAACTAGTTACAAAAGATCAAACAAGTTCGTCCGAGGATAACGACACCTCTTAAATTATGGTTTGGCATTATATATGCAGCTCTATAACCACACGATAGCAATGCAGTTCTCTATTGAACTTACCACTGCCTCAAAGGAGGCGACATGTTGACGATTTTAAGTCTTACAATCAATGATCTATTCCGCAAGAAAATCATCTCTCACGGTGCAACGAACGTTATTCGCAAAAAAGAAGAAACTTGTCCATTTTTTGCTGAGATACAGTGTACAAACTGATTCTCGATGTGCTTTTATTTGAGAATCCTTGGGATTGGCAATCATCTTTTCAATATAGGGAACAATGACTTAGCAGAACAATGATTTTAGCAGTCACTTTACGGCAGGGAAATAAGATGACTATACTATAAGATTTTGCTCTTCCTGATCAGAAAACTTTGATGTCACTGGTTTTGCGTAAAGTCACTGATTCATCGTCTGCTCCTGAGTTGTGCCTCCGTTTCTCCCGCTTCTATAAGTTAAGTTATAATTCAACGCTGGAAAAAGACTAACATCGCCTACCGAACGACCTTGGTTAAAGTACAGTATGCGGCTGCACATCTTCGGCGAAGTGTGTGGACTATTTAAGCTCTAGAGGAGTCAGATTTCTGCACCTCTTACGAGGTTCTCCTAGATGTCTTCGAAACCCAATTTATTTTCATGACGACAGCGCTCTGGATATGAAGCTTAACTGATCCAGATTTCGAAGTTATCGTCACATGGTGAAGCCAGGGAGAAAATGCTTTTAGAATTCAACCTTGTGCAGAACTTGTGAGCAATTTTATGAAAAATCATTGTAAAGTCCTCCATGAAGGCATCCCTGCCCTTAAAAAAGGATAGCCCTAGTGCAGTTTGTCATAATATATCAAACCAAACCAAACCATTGGAATACAGTTCACTTCTAAGGCTCAACATGAATTATAAAATTCCTCTTACGAAAGAGAGCTCTTTATCTTTCCTAACTCTTTTAACAACAGTGCCAATAATATGACATTCGTTATGAGAAATGCATAGATACCTGTGGTCGACATACTCTTTTGCACAGTCTTGTTTTCTCAGGGATTTGTAGCAAAAATGTGGATACATTCCCCTAAATTTGCATACCAAAGGATTTAAACTTTCATATCTTAATTTGTTTTGCTATTTTCTTCCGCATAGCCTGAAGTATTTAAAATTTTATTTAAATTCATTAAGTATTTTTATGAGGTATCATAGAATTCATATTTGCAACAGCGACCAGTGCATAAGATTTTAAGTACTCATATTTCGCTATTTTATACTAAAATTATACTTGAAGTTTTAGATACTTGTATTTACGAGATAATGACCAAAGCATCATGAAAACTGGTTTATTCGTAAACAATTCAATCGGTAGTTCTCAATCTCTTTTCCTCAGTTCAGTACGCATGACTGATCATATTCATATTACTAGGAGCATAATCGTATTTTGAAGAAGTCTGAAACCATTTCAAACAGAAAATAAAAAAATTGCTGTAGAATGACTTTAGAAGGTATAAATTTAACATTTAAAAAAACTTTCTTGCTGAAATAATACCTGAACATGTGAATTACAGAAGAAAGCATTCAATGATTTTTAAATGGGATTGCAAACAAGCAAATTCGCAAGCAGAAATAAAATTTGAGAATTTGATATTTAACGGTATAGAATTTTAGTACCATTTGTATTACAAATTAACATTTCTAACCACTACTTTTCGTTGTACATTTTAATGCTAATTGTAGGTAATTAGTAATTGTATATTCTTATGTTAAATATTTTAGGATTATTTACTTAAACGTTTCATAATATTTTTAAACCGCCATAGTTAAAATATCTAGTTAGGTTCTAGTTAGGTATATGTAATAAAATGTGCATCTCCGATTTGTGACGATTTCAGATAGAGTTAGCATAATTTATTCATCCAACCATAAACCACAAATTCAACGGTAAGCGCTAAATATGTGCCACAACTGTGATAAGTGTGGAGCGAATGGTTTACTTCCCTGTAGTGAAAAACACTAGGGAGAGCCAGACTGATATTTAGCAAATTAAAAGTATCAATCTGAAAATGATAGAAAAAGTGTTTAATGGAAGTCATTTAATTTTGCTTAAGAGATCTTAAAATCTGTCGCGTGGTGTGATATACATCGTAGAGTCTTTTTTTAGAATTTTTCGGAATCGGGAAACTGCAGAAATCCGTAGTGCCCTGTCCAAAACTCGAAACCTGGACTTCTCGAATACGGGCCGAGTGCGCTACCGTTACATCACGAAGGCATGCTGGAAGGAAGCAGAGAATACCTTGTAATAAAATTAAGTACGTTTTCAGTGTTAAAATATTTTAAAATAGATTGGGTTCACATACCGATAATTTCTGAATTTCAACATTGTTTTGAATCTTAGCCTATCAAATATACAAAGAATATATGCATAAAAAAGTGTTAAGAGCTTCTTCTCAAAATATAACAAATTATTTCAGTATTATTTAATATTTTGTTTCATGGAAATAATTAATAGGAATTGTTAAATAAAAAAATTTCGCTATGTTTTCAAGAATTATGCTCTTCAAGAAAAAATATCAGTTTTTTGAAAATTTTTTAAGGAAAAAATTAATACTTTTAACAAGGATTTTATTTATTTATATTGTGTGATTTCACGCATAATTTACTTTTAGCAATTACAGCAGCATACGCTTGAGAATAAAAACATGCCCTATTTTATCTCAAGATGTTTTCATCAGATCATTGAAATGTTTATTTACAATTTTTCCTGTGTTAATTAAGAATTTACAAATTATATTCTATAAATTTAAATTATTTCGAACCATTTGTATATTCTCTCAAACTATGTATACGCAAAGTTATCCTTCATACACGTGCATCCCATATTATCCTAGATACACATACACATGCATCATTATTTCAATAACAAGCCTGATTTGTTCTTTTGTTTTTTGTTGTACGGCATAAAATTTTTAATTAAGTCATAAAATTTTAAAAATATTTACTTACCTTGGCTAATTCCAAAAGTTAAAACTATAGAAACAGTTAAAATATTGACTTTAAGATTCATGGTCAGTTTTTTTTAAGAAATGCTCGGTTAAGAATTTTTTCCACTTGGTTCAGTAATGCGAATAATTACACCATGCCGTGGAGAACCGAGCTGTAGGAATGAACATTTCCTCTCGAAGGGTTGCTTTTTATCAAACACTATTTCTCTGCCGCCAAAAGAAGCAATTTATTCGCCAATCGTATGTAACCTGAAAAAGAAAAACCGAGGTTTGCTTTCGAATAAAGCTTTTTTGTGTTGAACAGAATTCTGGAGATAAGAAAATGCTATAAATTCAAGTGCACATTTTTATTCGTTAGAAGTTCTTCTGTTATGCTTTTCTACTGAACAAATTATTAGATAATATCGATATCATTTACTTCAAAGCAGCAAATTTTCGTGCCTTTAATCAAGCTACAGAAGCTCATCATACCTTACAATAAAACACGATGTCACTGTAGCTAACCTTTTCATTTTGCTATCTTTTCTAAGCAAAAATTTGTAAGTTTCACTTCTTCAGCCGAGAGAAGAAATACTTGAAGAGAAATGATATAATGCTAAGGAGATTTGGCTCTTCGTCAACTAACAATTATATGCGAATATAATACATAGATGTAGTTCGGATATAAACGGAGTTTTGAGATTTTAACCTTCTCATATCCAGAATTTCGAGACTGTTCCGAGATTGGGTAATTTAGTCTCATTCCTTCCTCAAATTTTCTTTTAGAAAAAATATTATTCGGACATTACATAAATTTAAAACATTTTTAGATTGCTGAGAAAAGTTACGAAAGAGCCCAAAATACTGAAAGAACTTTTAGAATATTGACAGAAGTCAGGCAAGAACTGAAGTATTGGCTAAAACCAGTTGGAAAGCAGAAATACCCAATATTGACAATACTGATTAAATCATATAATTTGCTTCCGTGCACTCGTTGTTGAAAATTCATTTAATTATATGGATGATACAATGACAGTCTGTAGAAATCATTGAATACTGGTAGTCTAAATTTTATTTAAACCATGAAATATTTTTTTTATTTTCATCACACAGAAGTACATATGAAGCTTTTGAGTCAGAATATGCCTCTGACTGTATTGGTAAATATTTTAGGGATAACTAGGCGATTAGGGACAGCTTTAAAAAATTCTTCACATTCCATGAACCTTTCTTTTCTCATAATTCCTCATGCTCAGCATTTCTTAATAGGCATACTTCAAGTTTTAACATAATATTTAAACGTTTAAGTGACAATATGTCAAAATGTCTTGCTAAACTTCAAAATATGCTTGTATGCATGTATGAATGTGTTTTCTATTTATAATCTGAAATTATGTTGAATTTTTACTAGACTGTAATTTTCTGGGTTTTTGACATTCGGTTGTAATCACTCCTGTTAGTATTAACGTAGTGATTACTAAGAGAATATTTACGGATAGAGTTAGCTGGGTCATATTCCCCCAGGAAGACACAAATTGTAAACTTTTATAAAATTATTGAAAAATTATGTTAATACAGTCGTTCTTCCAAAAGCGTAATAGCAAGATTGATTTTTCATTACTGGAGCCAGCTGCAATGAAACTATTTGTTACAAAACACTGATTCAACTTGAATATTCATTATTAACTGTAATATCAGGGGATGCCTAATATTGCAGCAATTCATCTTTGTCCGGCTTTTGTAGCTATAGCACTTACCAATTGGCGATGCATGCAAAAAATTGGGGAACACAAAGTGTAAGCGAGAAAAATAAAAATACAACATTCGGCTCCTCTGGAACTGGTAGCACAACATCTATCTGTATTACCCGGCTCAACTCGAGATGAGACGCACTGTCAGTGAAGTTACAACTGCAGTCAGATACTGTCTGACAATGGATAATTTGACCTGATTATATTCATGCAAACATTTAAATTACCAGCTTATATGAAAGGCACGAGACCTAGAAATGAAAGAAAGGCATAAGGACTTATCTAGAAAAGGAAAAGGACATTAGAATGATCTTTTTTATAACTTTCGCCTCTGAGTTTCAAGTTCGGAATAACATATATTTGCAGTCGAATTTGACGACTACAACACAAAAATATAATAAATTTAGTAATCTATCATTGATTTATCATACTTTAATTTTTATAAACCGTGGCTTCACCCTGATACCCGATTCTTTAAGTGAAGTTAAAACGTTATTAAAAGTTAAGAAGTATCTCTCTCACGGGCGACATCCAACAACTGTATTTCCCGAATAAATTGATTCAGGTCAAGCATACACATTTATGCTGCCGGTCGCTATATATGTGTTCAAATAATTCTAAGCAGTGTCTTAGTATAAGTTGTATTTATTTCTTCAGAAAGCAGTAGAGAACGTGAGTTGGAAAAAATAATGTATAATCCTAATATGACTAGGCTACATAACCGGGTAATTTGCATTAATAAAAGTAACTAAAACTGTTAAAATGTAACTGCAGCTGCCATTTGATTCGTAAAATAGTTTCCTTTTGTTAGAAAGGAAATATGTTGCAAACTAAATTTTAATACGTAGTGAAATTTAATTTTGAAAAACTTAAATTTAAAAAAGAATTAAAATACTAAATATTTTAAAGTCGAGATCATAGCTTCTGAATTTTATGAATAAGCATTTAAAAACCTTTACATATGCAAAAGTTGACATTTTTATGGAAATATATTAAACAAATGCTTCGATACCATTCAACATTTATGCATGCAATCTCGCACTGATACTCTTCGAAAACCTAGAAAACGTCTGTATAGATCCCCAATCTTTCAATCATCTTACAAACCAAGGGACATTTGGAAAAGAATCTATAGAAACAACTCTACTAACATAAATTCAAGAACTTTTTAAAAATGACAGAAAAAGATGGAATTTTATTGCGGAATGAGGTTAACAACAAAAACAATGGTAATAACAACAACATTTAAATAACAAAATATGAAATATGCATCTTAAAAAATTTAGTCCAAAGAGCCCAGAAGTGCTATTAGTCTCAACGGCATTTTGCGTCAGTTCATTATAAATATCCGTGTCCCTTTTTAAATTCTTGCCACAAATATTAGCGTCCTGTATTAGGTGTACTCCAAGGAACTCCAAGTACTAAGAAGGGGGGGGGCGGAGGATCTTCGAATAAATTTCGCGCAGTTCGTACCCTACCCCTGTATTATATTTAAAGAAATTAAATTATGAAGAATCTGCATGAATGTATGTATGTTTCTCGCATTGTAAATAAACAACGGTACCTAGAGCCATCAAATTTTGAATAGCGTAGTCCTCCAGCCGAATATTGGCTCCTAGAAACCTGAATGTGGAATTCTTCTTATTGTCTACTTCATATTTTGTAAAATTTTAACGAATGTTGTATTACAAAACTCGGCAATTTCAAAGCGAACAGTGGCAACCCTGTAGGGAATAAAAAATGTTTATCTCCATCGCTCGAGACTGTCTAACGGAAATTCTAAAGATATGATTTTTTTAAATATTATTAGCCCAAAGGGATATTAACACAAATGCTCCTGAAACGTGTATATGTGTGTGAATAAAGAAACAATAAAAAATAAATAAAAATAAAAAAATTCCGCTTTGGGCGTAATATCAAATCTGAAAGCTTTCAATTTTTTGTAGTTAAAAGCCAGAGAGAAAAAACAAATCTTTAAGTGATAGATGAATCGCAGTTTTTTTTTTTTTTTTTGAAAATTTTAAATTCCTTATGCACACAGGTAAGTAAAAAAGAACAAAAAAATACAAAAACACGACACAAAATAAAATAAACTTACAAATTCACAGATGACACATAAGAGATAAATTTACAGAAGCCATTTTATGTTGGACAAAATATACGTGAAGAGGGGAAGGAAATGTAATATTTACAGAGTTTAAACTTCGAAATGAGTTCTTTTCTTTGCACTCCACCGAAACTGCATGAACGCAAGTCTGAGTAGATAGAAAATAAGAGTTCTGCTGCATTTGGGTTATGGGGTGCACAGGGTGCGCGGTGCCGCCGTGGTCAGTGACGTTGGTAGAAGAGAGCCTACGTCATGCATGATATCACCGGAAAGGGTGGAAATTGTGGAGGAGTTCATAGCAGATAAGAGGGAGTGTTTCCGGATTCTTCATTTAACTGATAAGATGACGTCACACTTTGATAAGAGATTAGCTTTTATTGATTTTCACAAGGTTTCTTTTTTAATCAGTTTTTAACCTTTATATTTTTTCTTGGTGTCCCAGCTATTTTAGGACGTATACAATGATTATTTCCTTAACGACCCTTATTTTCGAATTTAATGATTGATTCAGGAGGCTTTAATTTTAGATGTAATTTTTTTTATGTTTCCATATTTATTAAGCCTTATTATTTCCTATATACTCAGAATTTTAACTTTTTTCTTAAAATACCAGATTTACTTTCCGTAATCTTAATTATATTACTCATTTTTATTATTTATTTCATTTCACATAGAATTTTTTCATGCTTCTTAATCCAGTACTTCAAACTCATTTATTACATTTTACGAGCTTAATTACTCAGATCTGCGTTCCTATTTATTATATTACTTAATTTTAGATGTAAAATTTAGCTTGTTTTATACATTTTAGCCGTCATAAAATTTAATGTACTCTAATTTTTAACTAATTTATTATATTTTTACACTATATACATGACTTTTACTTGATTTCTTTCATACATTTTAACCTTCATAATTTTCAATATAGTCTTAATTTTAACACAATTTCTATATTTTCAGATCATATACCTGACTTAGATGTAAATTTTAACAAGATTTAGATGCAAATTTTAACTTCTTTTCTACTTTTTTTAACGTTTTTAGTTTCCAACATACTCCAAATTTTAATTAACTTGGTATATTTTCACACTATGTTCATAACTTTCACTTAGTTTTTAATTAATTTTCATACTTTTTTAACTAATTTCATACGTTTTAACCTTCGTAATTTCAAACATGTTCTTAATTTAACTTAATTCCTCTATTTTCTGACAGCATACATGAACTTTATGTAGCTATAGATGGTATTTTTAACTTGTTTCCTACATTTTAACCTTCATAATTTTCAATACAGTCTTAATTTTAACACAATTCCTATATTTTCAGATCA